ACCTTAATAACACCTTAAAGCGGACAAAAGGCACTGGAGAACACTCATTAACACCCTTTAATGAAGCAAACTAATGCCTTAACTCACTCAAATAGTCGTTTACTTATTAAGGTGAAACGAATGTGCGTAGAGTTTTAAAGGATGCGGATAGTCTCACCTTGATTCTGGCGCATTGCTTATCGTTTTATAGATCTATTCTCATCCACCATCTTTGTTTGTGACGTAAAGAGTGTAACGGCCCGTCCACACAGCGGCGTGCGTTGACACTTGCCGGCGGGCGTGTCTGACACTCGACCAACAACCAATCACATGAATCTCCTGCCCCTGACACACAAACAGCGGTTTGATTGGCTAGAGCTTGTACTGGCATATGATTCGATTGGCTGACGCTTCTGCCAAGGCGTCAAAAGTTGAACATTGCTCAACTTTTGCAGCGAGCCACGCCAGCAACGCTCCGCGTCGCTTCCCACGATGCAGTTCGGCTAAAAGTGACGTCACCCCATTCAAAGTGAATGGGCAGAAGCGTTGGAAGCTTCGACGCACGCCGCTGTGTGGACGGGCAGTAAGAGTCACGTTTCTGAATCGGACACTCTGAGTGGATGCAGTCACAGCCAATCGGAGTCTGATTCAGAGGGTTGCCTGTCAGTTCTGTTGTTATGTGTACTGAAACGAGAGCCGGTATAATTCCACGCGTGAAAACAAAATAAAAATTGGAATACGTTATTTTAGTGTCTTAAAAGTAGACTGAGTTATGAAGGGTTAACGTTACATCTTAGGATAATTTTTAGTCATGTTCTGTATACATACTAACATATAAGGGTATACTTAGTGTGGTTACTCCATGTTTACTAGCTATAACATTAACGTTACATCACTCTTTTTCACTTCTTACTCAGTCAGCCAGAGTGCAGATATCACCATTAGATTCACAAACCTGAAACATCATCCATTTCTTCACTGCTGGGGATGACATTGTTGTCAGCTGCTGATACTGCTGCTGCTGCACTGCTGCTGCTGGCAGCCGGTGGCTGCTTCAATGACAATAACTTTCTAATATCCATAACTGTATAGGCTATTAGCTTAAAACTCGTCAGGCACTAGGAAGGATCACTTCTTCTTCAGGGCAGGCTACGCAGTACGCAGGCTAATGTCCCACAGTGGCTGCCTCTCTGGTGGACTCCGGTACTGTACATTACTCCCGAGACGTTTTTTTAAAAAAAAATTTTAAAAAAATTATTTATTTTTTAAGTGAAACATCCGGGGCTTTTCAGAAAACATCCGGGGCTTGAGCCCAAGTAGCCACCCCCTAGCGCCGCCACTGGTCCTCAGTGGTAGCTTCGGGAAAATGTCGACATGCCTTACAAAAGACAGCATCTCTTGAGGTGCTGTATTCCAGCCATGGGAAAAGTCCATACCACCTGACAGAAAAACACCGGGGCTTGCCGGCTAAGGTTGTGGGTGGGAAAGAACCGAGTTTGGGCTGTGTCGCTGGTTCATCTATTGTGGACAAATCTGATGGGGCCTTGATTTCCAAACCAGCATCCTCTTCCAGCTCCACAGAAACCGCTGCTGAAGTAGTCTGGGCTGCTGAGGATGATGACTGAGCGACTTCAGAGTCATCCTTCTCCGTTCTACGTCTTTTTGTTAAGAATTTGAATAGAGTACTTTGTTTTTCCATGTTGTCATTGTCAAGCTAGTTTCAAACTGTCAAGGCTACTGATAACAATGAATTGGCGCCTGCGCAGTGGATGGAATCTGAGCGCCGCTCGCGCCTGTGGATGCGATTGGCGGGAGTGAGAGTGGCACGCACCTGCCATTCAAAATAAACTGACGCTAATATCTGAATTTGTAAAGAAGTAGTAAGATACAATGATTTTCGAAAAATAAAAAAAGTATTGAAAGTCAGACAATTTACAATATACATTCACTGGCTGCTGTGACATATTTTCCAGATACTTTTTAAGCCTTTTGGTGGGTGCAGACGCGTAGCTGTGGGTGCGGGCCCACCCACAGCTACAGTACGCCTATGCTATATAAAACATTTTGCTCCCTGCATTACACATGAAACATGCTGCTGTGTGAGGCAGAGAACCTGTTGAGCCGATCAAAAGCATGACTAATTATCTGTCATTAAAGCCACATCCGCCTGTAAATTAGATTTCTAATTGACCTTTACTTTGACCATCACACTGCATCAGTGTAGTGTATGGAGGGATGTGTTACGTAACACCAAATTAATGCTGTTTGACACGAGTATACAAATAAATTGACCTTTTATTTCATTACACCCCCTGCAAGGCCAAGTTGTTGGTAACTGCAGAGAAAGCAGGTTTATATTAAAGGAGACTTCATTATGTCGCCCTCATTAGGCCTTTGTTTGGTCAGTGATAGAAGAAGTATCAGATCCATTTCATTAAAACTAAATACTAATACCAGACTGTGAAAATACCACACTGCAAGTTAAGGTCCTGCATTCAAAATGTACTTAAAGGGGACCTATCATGCAAAATGCACTTTTTGATGTCTTTTATACATAAACATGTGTCCCCGGTGTGTCAGGGAACTCACGCAGCATCAGAAAATAAAACCCTCTCTCTTTTCCTCCGTACCCAAATCTCTAAAAACGGGGAACAACAGAGCTGATTCAGATTTGCCTCCGATATGACGTAATATCTGAAATGTGGACCCACGGCCCAATCAGAAACGTTGCTATCAGAAACAATGCCCGACTGTTTTGGACGTAATATGGTCGGTGTTTACATTAGCATCGCTAACACTCAGAGCTAACCTGTACTGGAGAGCATGTGTGTGAAGAAGCAGGAAGTAAAAAGGAACTCACCTTGTGGTATAACCGGCAAGAGAGAAAGCCTTTGAGCTCCAGACTGTTTCAGAGAGAATCCTTGATAATCCATGATATGGCGTTTCATCACGGCAGCATTTAGTTTAGACAGTAGCTGCCGGGTCCCGCATGAGCTCAGACCCCTCCTTTTTATTTAATCAATTTCATTTTTTAAAGCTTTATACCCCAAATCAGCACTTTTGAAACAGGAAGTGAAATAGAGGGATATGAGGCGAGGCTAGAATGGGTGACCTGTTTGGTATTTGGAGCAAAACACTTCATAGACATGTTTTTATATATATCTGAGACCTATGCTATTGCCTAAAGATAGCATGATAGGTGACCTTTAAGTTAAATGCATGTGTGTACTGCAAGCAAAGGGAAGAGTTACAATATTGATGATGCATCAATTATGAAATTAAATACAAGTAAATAAATATAATTATTCTGTTCAGATCAGAAATCCTTTATTTATCCTTTGGAGATTTGCATGATAACAACAGCAGGTAAGGTAAGGAAACACAAAGAAAAAGTGTGTACACGTTATTGTTCACATAATAAGTAAAAATGTATATTGCAAAGCCATTACAAATAAAACATATTATTGGTTTGAGTATTTTTACTCAAGTATTTACTTTTTTTCAATTTTTTTTATTTCAGTTAGATTATTTTATTTATTACATTTTGAGGACATTTATTTTCCTTTTGTATTATTTTTTCAATATTTTCTTCGTGCTTATCAGCTAGTATTGTAATCTCATCATACTGTCGTGTCCTCGGTGTCGGTATCTCTTACCCGTTAGATCAATATATTTTAAAACGTTGCCTAAAATGGAAATATCCAAGTACTTATCTAAATGTACTTCCTTTCACTCCTCTGCTGAATATCTCTTTTGTGCCACAGTGACAAGATCTTTTCAAAAGGAAGCCAATTTGATGCATGAAATATCAGATTGAAAAAAGAGCAAGGCCTAAAGAAAAACCAGACAAACACTGGCACAGAAAACTGAAGGCTGAACATTTTGACGTCGACATTTTGACTTATCGGAAATAATACGCTTCTTTCACCAATACTCAGACACATTGAAGACCGCACACACACTCTTAAATATCATTTTCAGTCCTCACCTCCTGCTCAGTTCACCTGGATCTTTTTTATTTCGTGATATAGGAGTTACAACACAAGTGCATACAAGTAGAGTGTCACAGATTCACAGAAGACCATAAGGTTAATTTATAAGTAGAGACAAATGTAGGAGCCATGAAACGTGTTTTGATAAATTAGTTTTGTAATAGTTTATATTTGGGTAATGGTTTGTATTATTATAAGATATTTGTTTGATCGCTGTGTGTGTGTGTGTGTGTGTGTGTGTGTGTGTGTGTGTGTGTGTGTGTGTGTGTGTGTGTGTGTGTGTGTGTGGGTGTGTGTCCTAGCATTACTATACTTGTGGGGACCTAAATCTGTTTACACAGTCACGTGTTGGGACTCGCCTCCCTTATGGGGACAAAATGGAGGAGAATCATTCATTTTAGGGTGAAGACTTGGTTAGGTTAAGGGTTAGGGTTAGGTTAAGGGTTAGGGTTAGGGTTAGGCATGTGTTGGTTATGGTTAAGGTTAGGATAAGTCTCCAGGAAATGCATGTAAGTCAATGTAATGTCCCCTGAAGTGATGTATACATGGTGTGTGTGTGTGTGTGTGTGGTGTGTGTGTGTGTGTGTGTGTGTGTGTGTGTGTGTGTGTGTGTGTGTGTGTGTGTGTGTGTGTGTGTGTGTGTGTGTGTGTGTGTGTGTGTGTGTGTGTGTGTGTGTGTGTGTGTGTGGTGTGTGAGAGAGGGAGAGGGAGGGAGACACACAGGGTCGTTGTATTTTTTGTTGACCGCAAACTTTAGGATTGCTTTGATTATTATTACAATGTCTACGTTAAATAAGTTGATCATCTCATTTTTCATTAAACTACATAATTATTCATTGTAATTTTGATCTCAGCAAGTTCTTTGTTGATAGCGTGTCATACAATAGCAAACTCTCAGAGACTTTGTTTGTTTCCTGCTGTCGTTACAACAAAGGACAAAATATACATGGTGATACAGTTCAACGGGATTTTGAGGGAAAGTCTCCTTCTCTCTCCTTCTCCACCAATCATCTGTGACAGCTGGAGACAATGGCAGCTCAACTGAGGTGTGGGAACGAAAGGAAGAAGGAGTGGAGGAGCAGCAGACGTGTTAGTGATGAGAGAAAGATCCGGAGACAGGCTGAGCGTGTGAAAAGATCATTGTACCAAATGTAATTAGGCACAGATGGGGAGGGGCTGCAGAAATGAGGGTGCAGACGAAGAGGTTTCGATGGAGAAGGTTGAGGAGCCGTGTGCAAAATATATTATTCTGAAATGGACCAATCTGCACAATGACTACTTTTTACTTTTGTTACTTTCACTATATTTTGATGAGAATACTTTTCTACTTTCACTTGAGGAACATTTTGAATGTAGGACTTTTACTGTAACAGAGTATTCCTACACTCTGGTACTTCTACTTTCACTCAAGTACAAGATCTGAGTACTTCTACTTTCACTCAAGTACAAGACCTGAGTACTTCTACTTTCACTCAAGGACAAGAACTGAGTACTTCTACTTTTACTCAAGTACAGGATCTGAGTACTTCTACTTTTACTCAAGGACAAGACCTGAGTACTTCTACTTTCACTCAAGGACAAGACCTGAGTACTTCTACTTCTACTCAAGTACAAGACCTGAGTACTTCTACTTCTACTCAAGTACAAGATCTGAGTACTTCTACTTCTACTCAAGTACAAGATCTGAGTACTTCTACTTTTACTCAAGTACAAGACCTGAGTACTTCTACTTTTACTCAAGAACAAGATCTGAGTACTTCTACTTTCTCTCAAGTACAAGATCTGAGTACTTCTACTTTACTCAAGAACAAGATCTGAGTACTTCTACTTTTACTCAAGTACAAGATCTGAGTACTTCTACTTTTACTCAAGTACAAGATCTGAGTACTTCTACTTTTACTCAAGTACAAGACCTGAGTACTTCTACTTTTACTCAAGAACAAGATCTGAGTACTTCTACTTTTACTCAAGTACAAGATCTGAGTACTTCTACTTCTACTCAAGTACAAGACCTGAGTACTTCTACTTTTACTCAAGTACAAGATCTGAGTACTTCTACTTCTACTCAAGTACAAGATCTGAGTACTTCTACTTTTACTCAAGTACAAGACCTGAGTACTTCTACTTTTACTCAAGAACAAGATCTGAGTACTTCTACTTTTACTCAAGTACAAGATCTAAGTACTTCTACTTTCACTCAAGGACAAGACCTGAGTACTTCTACTTTTACTCAAGTACAGGATCTGAGTACTTCTACTTTCACTCAAGGACAAGACCTGAGTACTTCTACTTTCACTCAAGGACAAGACCTGAGTACTTCTACTTCTACTCAAGTACAAGACCTGAGTACTTCTACTTCTACTCAAGTACAAGATCTGAGTACTTCTACTTTTATTCAAGTACAAGATCTGAGTACTTCTACTTCTACTCAAGTACAAGATCTGAGTACTTCTACTTTTACTCAAGTACAAGACCTGAGTACTTCTACTTTTACTCAAGAACAAGATCTGAGTACTTCTACTTTTACTCAAGAACAAGATCTGAGTACTTCTACTTTTACTCAAGTACAAGATCTGAGTACTTCTACTTTTACTCAAGTACAAGATCTGAGTACTTCTACTTCTACTCAAGTACAAGATCTGAGTACTTCTACTTTTACTCAAGTACAAGACCTGAGTACTTCTACTTTTACTCAAGAACAAGATCTGAGTACTTCTACTTTTACTCAAGTACAAGATCTGAGTACTTCTACTTCTACTCAAGTACAAGACCTGAGTACTTCTACTTTTACTCAAGTACAAGATCTGAGTACTTCTACTTCTACTCAAGTACAAGATCTGAGTACTTCTACTTTTACTCAAGTACAAGACCTGAGTACTTCTACTTTTACTCAAGAACAAGATCTGAGTACTTCTACTTTTACTCAAGTACAAGATCTGAGTACTTCTACTTCTACTCAAGTACAATACCTGAGTACTTCTACTTTTACTCAAGTACAATCTCTGAGTACTTCTACTTTTACTCAAGTACAAGCTCTAAGTATTTCTACTTTTACTCAAGTACAAGATCTGAGTACTTCTACTTCTACTCAAGTACAAGATCTGAGTACTTCTACTTCTACTCAAGTACAAAATCTGAGTACTTCTGCTTTTACTCAAGTACAAGATCTGAGTACTTCTACTTTTTTTTTTTTCTTTTTTTTTTAGTCAATGTATTGAACATGTCAGAAACAAAACATACAACAATAATAAAAATAATATATATATATTCTTTTTTTCTCACTCATAATAATACTATAACAAAGTACAACAAAAATAATACAATAAAAATAATTCTGTCATGTTCAACAGGGGCAAGAAGAAGCTTAAAAATAACGTTTCTGGTCCTCCGCCCTCTAGCATACATTTCCCTTATAAATAAAATATTAGGTCATCGTCATCAGCGACATGTTTGTCTTGTTAATGTGTTTGTTTTTTCTTTTACTCAAGTACAAGATATGAATACTTCTACTTTTACTCAAGTTCAAGATCTGAGTACTTCTACTTTTACTTAAGTTCAAGATCTTGAGTAGTTCTACTTTTACTCAAGTACAAGATCTGAGTACTTCTACTTTTACTTAAGTTCAAGATCTGAGTAGTTCTACTTTTACTCAAGTACAAGATCTGAGTACTTCTACTTAAGTTCAAGATCTGAGTACTTCTACTTTTACTCTAGTAGAACTCAAACGCAGAGACCCAGTAGTGCCCCATTCTCTTGCACTATTGAATCAGTTGTATCTGTTTGATGTCCTGCGTTGCTCTGTTGGAGGAGCCGGTGACTTCAGGTTGTCATTGCCGCATCTACACAGTAGCTGCTGTGCACATGATGATAATGCCTTGAATCTTGAAAAAATGTAATCTTGGAGTGGAGGTGATCGTAACATATTCAAATGTATATATTCAAGTACAAATATGTTAAAAAATTAAATGTACTTAGTTACTTTCCACCACTGATATTGCACAACCTTCTAATCTACAGCATGATGCAACATTATAACATTTACACACGTTGCTGCACTTCATTACTCACTAAAGCGGGTTTGAAACCTGCTTTCCATGCAGCTATTCTAACAACCTCGTCTAGCCTGCCCTTGCATGGGTGTTATGAAATAAAAGGTCCATTTATTTTCTGACCTGTGTCACACAACATTAAATGAATGTCATGTAATGCATCCTGGAAGCAGTCAAAACATCACATATAATACATAAACAAGGACACAATCACAATCAATACTGTTGCTCAAAGGTGGGGTAGGTACGTTTGAGAAACCGGCTCGAGATACACTTTTTGTGATATTCCATGGAATGCTCTGAACATCCCGATAGCAATGAATATCTGAAGTGCTTTGACAAAAAATCCATATATAAATGTCACCTCTGGAAGCCGTGGTGCTGTAAAAAGCACGACCAATCATCTGATTGGCTAAAGTAACTGGATGGCCTACCTGCCTGTCAGCCTTCCATCTGGGCACAAACTGATCTCGTGCCCTCATTGGTCATGTGCGCGTTCGTGTGTTGGAGGAGGGGCTCTGTGAGGAAGTGGCAGATTTGTTCCGCCTGTGTATTTTCAAATTCTAGCGCACTCGAGCTGGTTTCTCCAAAATTACCTACCCCACCTTTAATGTGCATTTTGCTCACAGTTTACTCGGGTCTGAATGCAGGGCCTTTACTAGCAACCCAGTCTCACGGCATTTCGTGTTCACCAACACGATGTCCCCCTTTTATTCGTGTTGCACGGCACGATTTTAAAAACAATGTATTTCTACTGGTAATGTGTTTTGTGCCTGCAGCACGTCTTTTTCTCCGGTCGGGTCGTGGAAGACCGGAAGCTGTGTGGTTCATAAAAACATGTTCTTATCAATATGAAGCCACAATTATTGCTTTTATTTTAAATCGTATAATTTTGGACTTTTGTTGCCGTCTGTGAGGAAAATAAATGGCTCAGAGCCTCAGAATACTGAAATCTGTATTTTTTAAATCTTTCTTTCCTTCTAATTTGTTATTCTTTTCAAAAATAACACACTGTTATTTACTCACCAATAACACACAATTATCCTTGCTTTTATTTATTGGTTTAATTCCATAATCTCTGGCTTTTTTGGCGTCCGTCAGAACTGAGAGTAAAAAGGTTGAATAGTCGGTTGTTGATATCTTCCCTATAACACGTTGTTGTTTAGTTGTTCTGTGAAATGCCGACACACTTCTTTGCATTACTTTCACCGACAACAGAGTCCTCCTCGTCGGGGTTTACACATATATCCCTTAGCTCAGTGGTTTTCAAACTGTGGGTTTTCAACCCCTGGTGGGTCGCGGAGGTACTGCAGGGGGGTCGCGGGAAGATTTTTTTATTTTATTATTTTCTCCTTTTAGCTTTGTGAAGCACCTTGAGATGACGTTGTTTTTAAAGTGCACCTATATAAATCAAATGTATTGTTATTATTATTATTCAATTGTAAACAAACACTGCTCAACAATATCTCATTGGTCTGTGGGCATAATGCTGCCTTTTGCAACATCCTACTTGTGTGAGATCGGCTTTTTCTGCTGTTGCTGCCATCAAAACCAAATACAGATCAAAGCTGAACTTTGAGAATGAACTGAGTGGCCGTCTCAAAACAAGTCATTGATGAGCTATGTGTGGAATAGGAATGGTAAAGTGATGTGATCGTTTGCAACCTGCAGTAGAAATAGTAGTTAATTAATATATTTTCATTAAAGAAATTTGAATTTAAAAATCTGCTACTCTGGGAAGAAGGCCAACCAGTTTTAATTAGGCCAAATTAATTCACAGTATCTTACAAGCACTTTTGTTTATGTGTAATCCATAATAAAATATAAATATAGTTGGATCTTTGTCTTCTTATTATTAGCAGAGAAAATGTAATGTTTTTACAACAATATACATTTAATCCTACCAATATAGATGGGAACCAGGTTGGGGGGTCCCGAAAATATTTCCAATACCCAAGGGGGTCCCGACTGAAAAAGTTTGGGAACCACTGCCTTTGCTAAAAAGGAAGTTGATGGTGGCTGTTACGGCCCGTCCACACAGCGGCTTTGGAAAAAGCTTGGAGCTGGGCTTGTCTGAAGCTCGACCAACAACCAATCACATGAATCTCCCGCCCCTGACACACAAGCAGCGGTTTGATTGGCTAGAGCTTGTACTGGCATATGATTTGATTGGCTGACGCTTCCACCGAAAGCTTCAGAAGCTTCAAAAGTTGAACATTGCTCAACTTTTGCAGCCTGAAACGCCAGGAAAGCTCCACTCTGCTTCCCACAATGCAGTTCAGCGAAAAGTGCCATCGCTGCTGTGTGGACGGGCCGTAAGTGTTTATGATCATCATAAAATGTGCTACAATGGATTTGCACGAGAGCGGCAGAATATAAGAATACTTGCAATGATGCGTAAAGAATATTGAATTTGCAACTTGCAGTGGTTTAATTAAAACAATTATTCAAGCAATGTAGCATTGGCTTTACATAGGGTTGGATGAGCCATAAGAGACCAATTAAAAGAAGCGAACACTGAGATATCGTTAGTTTTTAAGTCTCTAATGTTCTGGAAAATAAATGGATATACATACATACAGCGTCTTTATTAAACTCTGCCCTGCTTGCATTTGTAGTCTCGAGGCCGAAACAAAGATAAATGGTTAAGAAAACATTGGTAACATCTTTAAGTTCTTTATTTCTAAGAAAACTACCCAGGGACGGGAAGTAAAACACATACTATATGCTAAATTGTAATTTTTAGCCAACAAACTCAACATGCAACAGGCCAACTTTAACATTTAGAAAGCTGATACCGACTCTCTCGTTACCATGACATCCACGTATTCTTAATCCCCAGGTGTAATGTACGTTCAAGGCTCTTACATTGATTAAAGTCTTATGGTAAATGTAGTATCCTTGGTTCTTGTCTTCCATTTCTTTCGGGGGCTTTGTTGACGTTGCAAATGGAGCTGCTTTGACGCAAGAACAAATCTTAATACATCTGACAGAAAAGTGTAATCGTCATCATTCTCCTCTCGTCTCCGTTGAAAGTGTTTTGCTTTTCCTTTCCTCTGATCTTCTCTCTGTCTTTGATGATGTGCAGTCTGAATGACTTCTCTGATTCCCTTAGGTGGATGAAATGAGAGCAGGTATCCTCTCTCTCTCTCTCTGATTCACCGCTTCAAAGACATGAATGTTGCTGTTCTGTGTGCGCAGGTAAAGGCGATCTGATTGGCTCGGACTCCCTGACGAAGGAGCAGGTGATTAAGACCAACGCCAACGTGAAGGCGCTGACGTACTGCGACCTGCAGTACATCAGCCTGAAGGGGCTGCGCGAGGTCCTGCGCCTCTACCCCGAATACGCCCAGAAGTTCATCTCAGAGATCCAGCACGACCTCACCTACAACCTGAGGGAGGGCCACGGCGCCGACGTGAGTAACACAGAGAGAAGGACTCATCTAAGAGTTAATAATAATAGTAATATATGGGATTTTTATAGCGCTTTTCCTAATGCTCAACGACGCTTAAAGAGTTGGGATTGGATTATTTGGATGAGACTTTTGCAAACTGGCCCTTAAAGGGGACCTATCATGCAAAATGCACTTTGTGATGTCTTTTATACATCAATATGTGTCCCCGGTGTGTCAGGGAACTCACGCAGCGTCAGAACATAAAACCCTCTCTCTTTTCCTCCGTACCCAAATCTCTAAAAACGGGGAACAACGGAGCTGATCCAGATTTGCGTCCGATATGACGTCATATCTGAAATGTGGACCCACGGGCCAATCAGAAACGTTGCTATCAGAAACAATTCCCGACTGTTTTGGACGTAATATGGTCTTTGTTTACATTAGCATCGCTGCTAACACTCAGAGCTAACCTGTACTGGAGAGAGTATGCACTTCTGAAATAGAGGGGGATGAGGCTAGAATGGGTGGTCTGTTTGGTGTTTTGAGCAAAACACTTCATAGACGTGTTTTTTATATATCTGACCCTATAATATATGACTAAAAATAGTATAATAGGAGAGCTTTAAGAAAACAATAAAGTGTTGTTCATTTCAATAATCAATGTAGACTGCCCCCGTAGATAATGGGGGGGGGGGGGGTTGGATTTAAAGTGGGAATAAGAAGGGAATACTTTTAATTCTACAAATCATTTCAACCCTTCTTTATCCAACACTGAGGATTGGGAAAGGAATAAGAGCATTTTGTATGACTTTATCTAAAACCTACCGTAGTTTGGAGAGGTATTTAGAGGATGAAGTGGCTGAAGGAGGGGACATGCTTGGTTCAAATGTTAAAGGGTCAATGGAAAGTCTGTAGAGTCCACTGTACACAACTACAGTACATACTGTAACACTTGTTGTGCAAAAGACTAAAAAGGCTTGGTGATACAACAATAATAAGTTAAATGTTGATACTTTATCATCATTATGTTTTTGTTGAATTACGACCTTGCAAAGAAATACACGAATAAGAAATAATTTATGGCAGATTACGCATTTAGGGTAAGTATGCACACCCTTAAAACACGACTTAGTCTCTCTCACAACAAACGTTTCTTGTAAAAACAGAACAATTGAGTATTAGGTAAGAGGACATATGTTGTGATAATATCAACACAAAATTAAAAGGATTTTGAGAAATCATCCATATTCATAATTTACTTTCACTAAAAAATGCATAGGTACAGTACAGTGAGATAGAGACCTCCTTGACAATAGAGACCTACTCGAATGTAGATTGGAGGTGAAACAGGATTCAATGATTCATGTCCCTTAGGAAACATGAGCTTTATCCTGTGAACGTTACTCCGTGAGGCAGGAGCTTTTATTCAAAGCACGTGCAACATGATCCAGCATGTTATAAAGAAGACCCACATTCAAATATGACATTGTTACGTCCCGGCTCGTGGAAAGTGGGAGGTAACATATAACCAGTTGAAATTGGTAAATAGGAAGTTGTTTTAATGAATGCTCACAATAAAGTTGTCAACAAACCGCCTCAATCAAAACAAAAAGGCCACAAAGGCACCGGCTTGAATAAGTAAACAAAGGAACTAAGGGAGACTCTTTAAATAAGAGTTTACAAGTTGGAGACAAACTAAATAGCTAACAAACGAAATAACCTAAAGAAAACCTCACTTCTAAAGTGGGATAAAAAGAATAAGGCCGTCTCCAAAACACAGCCTGGGTACAAGTTAACCACAGTTATCGTTGTACTACAAGATAAACAGAGTTATAAGAACAAGCACAAATATACCACAACTAGTTAACCACCGTTAACAGAAACTAACACCGAGAGTACCGAAAGCCGTCTGCCACAGATTCAGACCTCTCTCGACTCACACGGTGCCCACGGTCTTGTAGCTGTCCCCGGAAGGTGTGTGCGGGGATTGGAGCGTCGGGCCCGGCATGCTCCAATCCAGATCTTCGGTCACGCCTACCGGGGGAGGGACAGGAGGCCGGCATCCAATGGCGTCTGGGCAACGGCACAGCTCATATACATATAACACACAGCTGCAAACACTTACAGACAGGTTAATGGGCAGATAGAAGGCGGGCGGACATGGCAGGCGGTAAATAAAAGCAGTGAGGTCCGTTATAAATAACAATAAGAAGAACAAAGTAAAGATTTGTACTCCTGGTTGCATCAAGACCTCTGAATACAGCCCACCAGATCACACACAGCTCTCCAAGAATACATGAGCCTGTGCTAATGGGGAGACACCTTAAGATGAGCTCTCAGACACTACTGTAAACCACACACACACACACACACACACACACACACACACACACACACACACACACACACACACACACACTGCGCCTGTGGCTGGTGTATAGAAATAGATCAGGACAAAAAGTGAGAGAATCTTTTTTGTGAAACTTTCAGAATGTCTTTACACAGAGGATTTTTCATAATAGGTGACCTTTAAGAGGGGTCCTCGTGGATGAAAGCTAAGCATGACCTCTCAGACACTACTGTAAACCACACACACACACACACACACACACACACACACACACACACACACACACAGATCAGTGCAGCTTCAAAGGGCTTCTTCTACCCAAACACACACACACACTCTGCGCCTGTGGCTGGTGCAGCACAGAGGGAGGAAAACACCAGGACCAGAATAGCTCCGTGCTGCTGTTTGAAGCTGTCCTGTAGCTATAAATACAGAGCGGGGGGGGAAAGCACTGGCTGTCCCCGCCTGACTGTTGCTAAGATTGGATCCTGCGCGATATAAATAGCCCAGCCAGCCGAGGAGGAGGAGGAGGAGGAAGAGGAGGGGAGGGCGAACTTTCTCTTCTTCACACGCGTCTTTTCCACTGCAGTGCCATGTGTTTCTCCTGTGCACGCTTCCTGCAGCATGTGAGCCTGATGCTGTGTGTGTGTGTGTGTGTGTGTGTGTGTGTGTGTGTGTGTGTGTGTGTGTGTGTGTGTGTGTGTGTGTGTGTGTGTGTGTGTGTGTGTGTGTGTGTGTGTGTGTGTGTGTGTGTGTGTGTGTGTGTGTGTGCAGTAGTCCATCTAAGTTAATGTATGCGGCTCAGGCGAGTGTGATTGTATAGAGAAGCCTGCAGAGAGAAAGCATCTCAACTCGGTTGAAAGGAGGTGAATGGATGTTTAGAGCAACATAAAGAGATGTGTTAGACTTGATAAAAGATGTTAGGGTGAAAGGGGAAAGCAGGGATTGAAAGGGAGTGGAAAGGCTTTTGTAGGCATGGAAAAAAGGCAGAGGTTGTTGTTAAGAAAGCGTCCTCTGGCTGTGGTACTTCTGCAGATGGACTGTTATACGATACGATACGATATACTTTATTGTCCCCGTAAGGACATTAGTTCTGGACTCCGTCCTGCAGCTCCACATACATGTACACATACAAACATAGTACACATTAAAATACATACGCATATCCTCCTTTGCGTCGAAAGGAGCCAGTTGAGGTGGTTCGGGAACCTAGTTAGGATGCCACCTGGGCGCCT